GAGGGAGAGGGAGGGTCTTGGACTTAGTCGTCGTCCTTATTCTTCTTCGTCGGCTTCTTCTTCTTCTTCTTCTTTCGTCTTCCTTCGTAATTCTTTCTTCTTCTTCTTCTTGCTTCTGTCTTCTTCTTCTTCTTCTTCTTCTTTTGGCTTCTTTGCTTCTTCTTGGGGACTATTCTTCTGTCTTCTTCCTGGCTGTCTTCTTCTTGCTTGTCTCTCTTTCTTCTTCTTCTATCATTCTTCTTCATTCTTTCTTCTTCTTCTTCTTTCTTTGCCTTCTTCTTCTCTTCTTCATTCTTCTTCTTCTTTCTTCTTCTTCTTCTTCTTCTTCTTCCTTCATCACTTTTCCTTTCTTTCTTGCTCTTTTCATCTCTTGGGTACGTTGCTATCTTCTTTGCTTCCCTTTCTTCTTCTCTTCTTCTTCTTCTGTGCTTCTTCTTCTTCTTCTTTCTTCTTTCTTACTTTCTTCTTGTTCATTTCTTCTTGCTTCTTCTTCTTCTTGGAGGTTTCTCGTTCTCTTCTTCTTCTTCTTCTATTTGCTTGGTTCTTTCTTTCTGTCCGTTCTTCTTCTTCTCCTGGCTTCTTCGTTCTTCTCCTCCTCGCTTCTTCTTCCTGCCTCCTCATACCCACCACAATAACCCAAGCCGCCCTCCCCCCGCCGCCCTACCCCCCCCATCCCTATCCCCGCACCGTTTCTCAATACCCACATGCTCCGCTCATCCAAATCATCTGCCAGCACCTTCTTTACCAGCAACCCCCCCATCCTCCCACGCAAAGGGGGAGAAAGCGGTAGGAATGTGGGGAAAGGGGGCCCTCCCGTGCCCTTAAAAAAAAGGGGGAAGTGTCGGGGGAAGTTTTATTTCCTTTTTGAGTTACTAAGAATAGGATTCCCCAGAAAATCGGGACTTTCTCTCCCAAAGTGATGCCAAAAGAGGAAGTGTCAGTGAAGATCAATTCAGGATTGGAGGGGGTTTGAAACCAAAAGAAAGGGAGGAGGAGGGAAGGAGGGGAGGAAAAAGGAGGAGGGGGAGGAGGAGGAGGAGGAGGAGGAAGGAAAGAGGAGGAGGAGGGGGAGGGGGAGGAGGAGGGGGAGGAGAGGAGGAGGGAGAGGAGGAGGAGGAGGGGGAGGAGGAGGAGGAGGGAGGAGGAGGAGGAGGAGGAGGAGGGAGGAGGTGGAGGAGAGGAGGAAGAGGAGGTGGGGGAGGAGGAGGAGAAGGGGAGGAGGAGGAGTGAGGAGAAAGAGGAGGAGAGGAGGGGAGAGGGGCAGTGAGGAATGCCAGAGGCCAGGAGAGGTCTAGGGAGAGTATGTGATCCCCAGGGGAGGGGAGGAAGGTATGCTAAGAAGGAGGAGGAGGAGGAGAGGAAATCGAGGAGGAGGTTGAGCAGAAAGCAGGAGGAGGAGGAGGGGAGAGAGGAGGAGGAGGGAGGAGGAAGGAAGGGGAGGAGTGAGGAGGGAGGAGGAGGTGGAGGGGAGGAGGGAGGAGGAGGAGGAGGAGGGAAAGGAGGAGGGGGAGGAGAGAGGTGAGAGGAGGAGGAGGAGAAGAAGATGTAATAATATTGTTCCCCTTGAAGCAAGAAAAAAAAAAGTCCCACCCCCATGACAGTGACCAAGATAAGGGGAGATAACATCTGATAAGAGCTGACTTTGATGAGCTAAAGGAGGGTAATATTACATGCCATCGCCCTCCCTTTGTTTTTGCTGGTACACAACATTTGTCTGTCTGTCTATTTGTCTGTCTGTACAAGCTCCCTGTCTGTCCATCTAGCTCTCCTGTCTCAGAGAGAGCCACAAGACTGTGTCATCACGTTTACTCACATCTTCAAGCAGAGTATAGCACTTTGTCTGGATTTCTTGGTTTATCCTAGGTAATTTACACTATGTATACTTGTATTTATGTGTACCTGTGAGACAGAGATAGGCAGACAGATAGAAAGAGAGACAGATTGAAAGATATAGAATGAGGGAGAAAGATAATTAGATAGAATGGAGGAGGGGAAGCAGCATCCGACCCATTGTTTTGACAGGCTGTAGGGGTAGTGACTAATGAGACAAATGTCACTTTGACAGCTGCTGATTCTGACTCAAAACAATTATAAGCCACACACTCCACACAAGACAAGGAAGAAGAAGAAGAAGAAGAAGAAGAAGAAGAGAAGAAGAAGAGAAGAAGAAGAAGAAGAAGAAGAAGAAGAAGAAGAAGAAGAAGAAGAAGAAGAAGAAGAAGAAGAAGAAGAAGAAGAAGAAGAAGAAGAAGAAGAAGAAGATAGAAGAAGAAGAAGAAGAAGAAGAGAAGAAGAAGAAGAAGAAGAAGAGAAGAAGAAGAAGAAGAAGAAGAGAAGAAGAAGAGAAGAAGAAGAAGAAGAAGAAGAAGAAGTAGAAGAAGAAGTAGAAGAAGTAGAAGAAGAAGTAGAAGAAGAAGTAGAAGAAGAAGTAGAAGAAGAAGTAGAAGAAGAAGTAGAAGAAGAAGTAGAAGAAGTAGAAGAAGTAAGAAGAAGTAGTAGTAGTAGTAGTAGTAGTAGTAGTAAACAAGTTTTGTAAACAATATATTGATAATTATGTTTGTGTGCTTATTGTGTTGTATACAACGAGTGTATATATATACATTGCACCTTACTTTGGTCTCATAGGCCACATAAGTTATGTGAAAAAATAAAATAGTGAAAAAAACAAAAAACCTTCAATTACAAGTAAACTAAAGTTTACCGGGTGAGCGGCAGTCGCCGCTGTTGCCATACGCGGCTCATTTTCTGCAAACTTCACGGCTCTATATCTCGGTAAGTACCGATGGCAAAAATTTTTTTTTTGGACTAAAACACTCAGAAAAATAATCTTAACATTTTCATAAGAAAAAATAAATTTTTTTTTTTTTTGAATATTTGGCGACAGAATGACAGTTTCAGAGAGGGGCCTGAAACAGTCAAAGGGTTAAGAGAAAAGTAAAAAAAATTTTTTTTTTTCAACAAACCGGCCATAACCCACCAAGGCAGGGGGGCCCAAAAAGAAAAACAAAAGTTTCTCTTTTTAAATTTGGTAATATATACAGGAGAAGGGGTTACTATCTCCTTGTTCCTGGTATAAAAGTAAAAATAGCTTAGATAAATACATGAGGGAGTGTGAGTGGGTGTGAGCTGGACCTGACTAGCTTGTGCTACTAGGTCTGATGTCATGCTCCTTCCTTCAATGGATGTGACCTGACTAGGTGGGTCATTGATCTAAGCCAGAGAGGGAGGGTGACATGGACCTGCCTTGCATGGGCCAGTAGGCTTGCTGCAGTGTTCCTTCTTTCTTATGCTCTAATGTATTCGGCAGGCTGGCCGGCTGGCTTGCTTTGGCTTTGGCTGCCTCTCTGTCTATATCTATATCTGTCTGTATCTCTGTCTATATCTCTGTCTATATCTATATCTGTCCGTATCTCTATCTATATCTCTGTCTATATTTCTGTCTCGCATGTACACATAAGTACAGTTATTATACATAGTGTAAATTACCTAGGATAACCCAAAAATTCCAGGCAAAGATAGACAGATAGATAGACAGACAGACAGATAGACAGATGGACAAACATGTTTGTGTGTATCAGTGAAAACAAATAAAGCCAGGGTTCCCCCGAGTGCCCATTTATCAAATGTCACTGAGCTGATAACAGTTGTCAAAACACCATTCTTGAAGGGAGTTTCATATATGTATACTCCAGGCAGACAGAAAGACAGATAAGCAGAGACAGACAGACAGGCAGATAAACAGAGACAGATAGACAGAGAGGCAAGACATGCTTGTGTGTAACAGTGACAACAAATACAGCGAGGGTTAGCTGGAACAGTGGGCATTTATCAAATGTCACTAGGCTGTCAATAGTATAGGGATGCCTTTCATAACACCATGCTTCAAGGTATATGCCAGGGTATCTAAAACATTGCTGGGACCTATAAATACTTTGTATATATTTATAGACAATAGTAAATAACCCAGGAAGGTGTAAATGTTCACCTGTCAATGTGATTGTGACTATTTGAGCAATATTGCAGTACCTAATATTAGTGTCAGAAAAAAGATTGGCTATGAAATCACAAAAACTATTATAAATTACAATTATAAGAACATAAAAAATATATAAATTAAAATAAAAGCGATAAAAAGGGTATATCAGCAACACTTCTGCAAGTGGCAGGAGTTGATGTTGCCATCAGGTGAACATCCAGAGCCAACTTCACGGTCTTATATCTAGGTAAGTACCGATCCCAAAAAAATTTTTTTCATCCTATAACATGTAGAAAAATGTGCTCTTCGTTTAAAAAAAAAAAAAAAATATTTTTCAAAATATTCAGAGCGCCACGCGAGTGAACATAGATCTACGTTTGGACAGTTTAAGGGTTAAAGCCATAAAAATCATTTGTCTCCACTCACTCAAATCCAAAATGCTCACACAAGCCTGCTGGATGCTCAAGCCACATGAAACTTCCTTTGCCATTATTTATCCACCACCTCCTTTACTTCTTCCTTCCAACCCTTCCTGGGACAATTCCTACCCTTCCTTTCTTCCACCCCAGACTTATATACCCTCTAGATCATCTTATTCTGTTCCATCCTTACTAAATGCCAAAATCATCTCAACAATTCCTCCTCAGCCTTCTGAATTATACTTCTGATAATCTCACACCATCTTTTATTTTCTACATCACCACTGCAATATCTAAAGCCCATGCCTTACACCCATATAAAAGTGTAGGTACCACTATACTCTGGTACGTTTTCATTTTGCCAACATAGACAAACTCACCACCTACCAGTATCTTTTTTCACCTTGCCCATTCTATTGGACATCTCATCTTTCATAAACTCATCCACTGATACATCCACTCCCAAATATCTCAATACACACACTTCCTTCAGGCTTCTTCCCTCCAATTTAAGATCCAGTCTTTCATTGCCTAGAGTTTTTGTTACTGTCATCACTTTTCTCATTTTTATGTTCACTTTTAACACCCTTCTCTCATATACTAACCTGTCCACTTTTTGTAAGGGTCAGAGAAAACTGAGCTCCACACTCAATCTGGCATACACCGAGACCATTAAGCCTCTCAATATTTTGAGGTAATGCACAGCCTTCTGATCCTCCACGTCCTAATTTTCCAAAGTCACCATCCCCCCAGGAGTACACCATTCCTTCGGAGGTCAGGGCAAGTGTCTGAGCATCTCGACTGCCGCATGCAACCTGTAAAGTGAATGACAAGTGAATGTCTCCCTCAACACACATCATGTCAATTATCTCTTGGTTCACAATGAAGTAATGTAGTCAAAATATTCAAATAAAGCATGGGGTAAAGTGATATGGAAAACTTTGTCAATGAGAATGCTAAATTTGGTTTACAAGCTTTTACAAATCAGAAAAGAATTCACCAAGTACAGTTTATATACCAGGGAATAGCACAGTGTGAGCTTGAGGTAACTGGTCTAATATATCATGTCTTTATTTTCATAGTCTGCTAGTGATGTGCTAAAGGTGTCACTAGAAGCTACCTAGGAGTTTGGGAAATAGTGTGGAAGTGCTAAGCTGCAACATCCCCCACCCAGCCTTCAAAGTGTAGGTACTGCATTCTCCACCTCCAGAACTCAAGTTTGGATAATTTGTTTCTCTGAATTCCTTCACAATGTTCACACTTCAACAGCACAATAAATTCCAAAAACTAGATGAATGTTGAAGAAATGCAGTGCTACTGTAACAATGTAACTTCTGCTGCAAACCAAAACAACATCAACAGATTATCATTAGGCTCATGGAAAACACAGAACCTGTAGTGCCCTAAAGCACTACATGCAAAGAAAAAAAAGATAGAGGTGCTGAGGGAAGATCATTAGCTGAAAGGTTAGGTAGTCACAGTCGGTGAAGCAAACCAGTGACAGTAGGAAAGGTGGGGTCAGTAAGAGGAGAGTGGTCAGAGTAAGCATGATAGGGTAGTTAAGAAGATGTAAAATGCTGTTGGTGTGCTTGCTGACAAGCAGAGTGATGATTCAAAATACGATGAATTGTTAGGGTGACACAACAATTCTCCCAGAGAACTGCAGCACACCTCTCCATGAGGAAGCAGTGTGAAAGCCTACTGTGACCAATGCATAATTGTGTGAGTGCTGTGTCTCACAACTGGAAGTGATGAAGGAAGGACTGCCAAAAGTCCATTTGTAGTTTGATTACAAAAAGAGTGTATTGGTCATCAACAAAGACCAGTGTCATTAACAGTGGCCTTGCAATTAGAGAATGGTCCTGCTTGAGATGGAGAAGTCCTGAACTGCAGAATGTCCCAAAGCATCAGCCAAATTAATTTCTTTGAAGCTCCTCATGTCCAAGGACATGTGTCAGCTAGAGATGCTGCATAGTCAAAGCTGAATGCAAATGATGATGAGATGTGATGAATCAAAGGTATGAACTGTTTGCAATGTGCTCTGAGGGTCAAAGACTATATTGAAGAATGAGGCTGATAAAAATCCACTGTCAATGACAGCGAGATTAGCATACAACTCCACTGTTAAAATACTAGCTATCTGCAATAGCTGCTTTGAATCATAAGATCAGGAAAAATAAGTGTAGCATCAGTGTGTGACTTTAAATAAATAAGAGTGAGAACATGTTCAAAGTTAAAAAGTGAGACTTAGGGGATACCAGAAGACATACAAATTTGGGTCATAGGGAATTCTCAACACAGTAGAAAATAGTAAGGAGCAGGAAGAATGCAAAGGTGTGCCCAAGGACTCAACAAGGTTTGATAACATCAATAGAAATCATTATAATTTATATTTCTTCTCTATCAATATTGTCTCTCATTTTCACAGATTAGCATATTCCCATACATTTCCCATTCTCCCTTTTGAGTTCCAATGTTTCACTGCATTGCCCTTTTATTAATTTGTTAGTATTGTGTTCTCTTGTTTTCACCTTCACAACAATGGCTTTTTCTATTGCTCTTTTGCAAACACCTAGTCTATTATTAATTAACATACAGGGCTATAAACTATTCCACACTGACAGGGTCAACAAGAAGAGTGGTGGAGTAGCGATCGATATCAGAGATAACTTAAACTGTTGTGTTAGACATGATATAAGATAAGAAACATCGGACACAGAATCTGTTTGGCTACAGTTTCTCGAGGGTCATGACAAATTCATTTTGGGTGTGATTTATAGGCTCCAAAACCTTGATAGGGAGTGCAGTAAGCTGTTATGGAATGAAATTCATAAGGCGTCTAGATATGAAAATGTTGTGTTAATGGGAGATTTTAACTTTAGACAAACTGACTGGAACAATGTGACAGGAAATCTTGAGTCTAGTGACTTTTTGATACAGTTCAGGATTGCTTTCTAAAACAGTCTGTGACAGAACCAACTAAAAGAAACAATCTGCTTGACTTGGTTTTTGCCAACAAAGAATCACTAATTTAATAATCTTGAGGTTAATCATGAGCTTGGGGAAAGCGATCACAATCACTTAATTTCAATATATCATGGAATTACCCAGATAACTGCAATCAAATCTGTCTCAGACTTTCGCTTGGCCAATTTCATGGGATTGAGAAATTACCTGGGTGGGCTAAATTGGGATGACCTGACTATGGATCAGGTAGGTGGTGTTGGTTGCCAATATGACGTTTTTCAGAGCATAGTTCTAGCCTCCCAGACAACTTTTGTTCTGAGTAGGGAAATCAGATCTAACAAAAATTATCCCAAATAGATAAACAATAGATGAAAACATCTCACTGGTCAAAAGGAGACATATATAGGTGTATCAATATATTCAATTAAAAAGATAAATAAAAAAAAGGAATAAGAAAAGCAAAAAGGGATTATGAAGCTAAAGTCGCAAGGAATTCGAAGACTAACCCAAAAGGGTTCTTTCAGGTATACAGAAGTAAGACTAGGGACAAGATAAGTCCACTTAAGAGTAACTCAGGTCAGATCACTGACAGTGACAAGGATATGTGTGAAATTTTCAATACTTACTTCCTCTCAGTTTTTACCCAAGACAAATACTAGCAAAATTTTAGAAATAATAGATTATGTGGAACAGGATTATAACAAACTATGCACGGTGGTAACTAGTGATATGGTCCTCAGACAAATAGAGAAATTAAAACCTAACAAATCCCCAGGCCTTGATGAACTGTATGCAAGGGTGTTAAAGGAATGTAAAGAGGAACTTAGTACAGTGGACCCTCGAGTTTCGGCAGCATCGAGTTTCGTGAAATTCGACCTTTGGCAAGTTTTTTGGCAAAATTTGGCCTCGAGTTTCGTGATTAGACTTGTGTTTCAGTGACCGTCTGGTACCTGTCCGCCCGTCACCGCGCACACTAAGCCAGTCTCCCACACCATTCACACTCAGTGTGCCATTGTTTACCAACACGTGACCATCACCCCGCGGGTTTTCATACAATACATTTCATAATAATCCATGTTTTTGTGCTTGCAACTGCTAAATAAATCACATGGACCCAAAGAAGCAGTGCAAAGCCCTTTGGTAAATAATGAGGAACCCCAAACCAGAGGGAATTTGAAGGGTTTGAGAGACCCGTCCCTGCGACACTTGCCTGTTGGGAAGTGTTGTGGCCCCTGGAAGTCCAGGGTTGGAGTGAGTGACGGGATGTGGAAAGTTTTGGGGGGACCACAGGAAGAGCTAACCCTGACACTGCAAAGCTTTACTGGAACAGCATCAACAACAGCCCAGGAACTTGCTTCAAAAGGAGGAAAAGAGAGTGAGGAGGTTCCTTCTTCAGTGATTAAGGACATGTGTGAATGATTGCAAATTTTGTTGAAAGTATCACCCTTTCCAAGCTGAAAAGCCATAAACGCAACTTACAATGACAGTGTGTCCCACTTCAGGAAATCTTAAAAAACATCAGAAAAAAATCTCTCTGACAGAATTTGTGCAACAGGGGTCCCAGTGCCCCTCATTGTTCCAGTGGCATTAAAAGAAAAAGGAAGTAACCCCAGTAGGGCTGCACCTAAAGTCCCTAATGAAAGGAATTCTCCTTCCAAACAATAGTGTACCCTTCCTTCTATCCCCCTCCCTCTTCCATCCACCCGGAACTCAGTAAAGGTAAGTGTAATGTTTTTATTATTTTTAATGTATGTACTTGATTCTCATTAATTAGTTATAAAACTCATTTAATTTGAAAAAAAAAAAAAAATTTATTTTTAAAATTTTTGGGTGTCGGAACGGTTTTTTATTTCCATTATTTCTTATGGGGAAAAAGTTTTGAGTTTCGTAATTTCGACTTTTGCAGGCTCTCGAACGGTTAATCACGAAACTCGGGGGTCCACTGTAAACCCTTGCTAATCTTTTCAACAAATCACTACAATTTGGCATAGTGCCTGATAAGTGGAAAACCAATGTAATACCTATTTATAAGCAGGTTTACAGGTCCTTTGCTTTGAACCATGACCATAAGCCTTTTCCCCATAGTGGGAAAATTTTTGGAATCAAAAATTTCCGAACAATTTGTAACATCTTGAAAGGATAAATTGATTAATGAATCCAAAAAAACTTTTTAAAAAAGGGCATCCTTTTACTTACAAATTTTTTTAAAATTTTAATAGACATTAATTTATATTGTTGGACTTCTTTTTTTCCATGGTTTCACAAGGGGCATAAAAACTTAACCACAAATAAAAAATTTTTCCCTGGGAACAATGGGGGAATAAAAACAAATTTTAAAAAAAAACAAACCTTAAAAAATTTTCCCAAATTTTCCTTTTTTTAAATTTAAAAAAGGGAAAGAGAGGGAATCAGTTAAATTCAAAAAAATACCCCGTCCAATTACTAATAAAAAGGACTCCTTTTTAAAGTATCAAAGGTTAAAATCATTTGCATTTTTAAAAAATCCAAATTACAAAAAAATCTTGCCCCTTTTCTAAAAATGTAGTCTTTCACTTTCAAAAGGTTAAGCTTTCCAAACAAAACCAAAAAAACACATTAGTTTTCCAAAAAAAAACTTTCCAATACAAAAATTTTTTAAAAAAAATCCCGGGCCCCTTTGCCCTTTTTAACCTTTTTCCCAGAAAAACCCCGTTCGGTCACCTTTTACAAAATTTTAAAAAATCCCGGGAAAAAAACAAATTAAAAGTTACCAAAACAAAATTTTTCCCACATACCCCCCCTAATCCCCCCGGGAAAGGGGAAATTAAAATCTAAAAAAAAAAAAAAAAATTTTGATGTAAGTTTGGGG